TTTGTGCGAAGTAGACACAAAAAACGTTTCAAAATATTAAGTCAGTTTTGCCTAACAGATACAGAGATTAATTGAAATCACGATAAACTAAGGTTTAATTCAAAATACGAGATAGTAACAATTAAGCAAGACAGTTCCAGTTTTATAATGAGAGGTAAAATAATGAAGCAATACAATCATAAATCAAGAATTCTTTTTGGAGTTAAAAGCTTTCTCCAATAAAATTTGCTTAAGTTCTTAAATAGTTGGTGATGAGGATTTTTTTTAAGAGTTTCACAGACATGTACTCGGAACTTCCTTCCATCTTCGTCAATCTATTTGACCGCATCTCCTCCATTTTCTTATATAGTGTAACCCAACCTTTATGGTGTTAAAATTCGTCAGGTATGTTTAAGATGTGTCCAATATATGTACCTGATGCGGAGCTGGAATTTCCAAAGTTCTGAACAAGCGAAAATTTCTGCAAATGAGATATTACGTTTTTTGGATGTTATATGGCAAGTGACTTAACACTAATTGTATGCACCTGTCTGACTGTATTTTTCGAAGGGTCTAGTTTGAGCTGGAAATAAACATTCATGAACTGATAACAGCGTAGCGTGAGAAGTGCAGAGTCAACCTACTTGATGCCATTTTTTTGTATTGTCAAAAGTCTATGAACATGGCGCTCCATGCTTCAATTCCATGAGTCAAAACAGAATGGATATGTGCATTATGAAACATCAACAAAACCCACATCACAACAAAAAACCTTAGCTGATGCATGCAATAAAATAGTGGAGCAAATTTTTATCCCATTTACAGTTCGGTAAGAAGTATATTTATAAAAACTCAGTTTTTCCCGCTTTTTCAAAAGACTTACCATCTTGTCATATTAGGAAATCTATCTATACATTGGAATGATTGAATACAAGAAACAGCTTTTTTATTATTTAAGACAATCCCATTATCACTAAGACATTGCTCTACAGCAACTAAGCTTGAATGGGCATGCCTTACCACAGCTTCCAGTTTTTCCAAATTTTCTATGCGTTACTACGTAAATTTGCTTACTGTAACATGGCATATTTGCTCAGTAATGGAAAGTCTCAGCTTTGAGGATAATGGATGCTGAAACTTAGTATATATAGGTTGTCCCGAAAAAAGTGTGCAATATTCTACCAGCGGTTTCTAGAGCTTAAAATAGTAAGGAAAGTTTATATAAACATAGGTCGACAAACGTCCCCTAAGGGCGCTACGGTCTTTTAAAAGGGCTCCCCTGAAGATGGTTTTTCCTTAATATTTCCGAAACGTGTTGAGATAAAGACATAAAATTTGGTATCCTAGCCTAGTTTTTTATGCTGGATTTAAAAGTATCAACAGTTTTGTTTGGAAGCGTATGTAACAGGGACGGACTCAGGTTATTTTAGCCCCAAAATTTTTGTGTTATTCTATTTTTGAAATTCAATTCTAGAATTTGAAAATCTAGGGTTTTATACATAAAAAAGGTAATCTTACTGAATATCGATAAATTGTGCCATTTTCGAATAAAATCAAACTAAAGAATTTGTGACATGATAGGAAATGTACTGCGAATTTAAATGAATGCTTGAATAATTATCCATGGCAACGAAAAAACTAATTTAGTAATTGGTAGATATTACATAAATACATATTTCTGTTGCAACATAGCTAACATTTAGGCAAAAACAAAAGAAATAAATTTTTTCTACGAACGAAATTGAAATGTGTTTGAAAAAGAAGACATACAGTTGGATATATTAAAACTAGCTTTACAATAAGTGTTCAAATAAATTCCCATCTTGTTGGATACAAAGTCTCGCTCGACGAACTAACGATTGCGTAGCCCGAAAAGTGGAAAACCTTTTCCTTCTTATTTCATTTGCAGCCTGATAGATTCTTTGAAGTAAATCTTCTTGAGTATTTACTTCAGTCGAGTAAACTAGGTCTTTTAATGACCACCAAAATAGAAATCCAATGGATTTAGGTCAGGTGAACGTGACGGCCACGCTATAGGACCTCCTCGGCCTAACCACCTGTCTGGAAAATTGACATTCAACCAATTTCGAACATTGCGTCCAAAATGTGCAGGGGCGCCATCATGTTGAAAAAACATATTTTCTTGAAACTGCTAGCGTACATTCAATGGTATTATATCAATGAGCTCATTCTGAAGAAGGTTCAGATACACCTCTGTATTAAGACGATTGGGAAGTATAATAAGCCAAATCACTTGATCCCCAATTACTCCTGCCCATAAGTTCAATGAAAATATATGATGGAAATTTGTAAGGCGAACAACTTTTGGATTTTCATCTGACCAGTGATGCATGTTATGGAAATTAAACGCACCATTCCTAGTAAATATTGAATCATCCGACCATAACATTCTAGGAATAGTGTTTTCGTTTTCTAATATCCACTGGCAAAACTCGATTCGTGGTAAAAAATCTGCCTCCGTTAAATGCTGCACCCGTTTAAAATGATAAGGATGTAATACTTGCATTCTTGTCATTATTCCTATCTAAAATTATTATTTTTAGGATAGCTATCAAATAGGTATTCATAAATTTTTCTTACTATTGATCGAGGTATATCCATAATTTGTGAAACATTTCGTATGCTTATTTGCGGATTGTTTTCAAACATATTTAAAGCAATATCCATACGATGATTTCCCAGTGGCCTTCCTGAGCCCTGCATGCGCTGAAAACTTCCATGTTTTGAGAAATTCCGGTGAATATCAGTAAACATTCGACGTCCAGGTACTATGCGATTGGGAAATCTTCTTTGATATTCTCTTACGGCTGCCAATGAACTGCCATTGCAAAACCCGTACACAAAATGCATGTCAGTCAGTTCTCTGTCTCTAAATCTTGGCATTTTAAATCGATTTAATAAAAATTTTGATGCTAATCTAGTAATTTTACACTGCTAACAATGTCAGCTTAACGTCAAAATCAGTCAGAACAAATCAAAACAACTTTTGTTTGCAGTCATGGCTAACTATGTATAATCAACAATTCATTTAAATTCGCAGTACATTTCCTATCATGTGACAATTTTTTTAGTTTGATTTAATTCAAAAATGCCACAATCTATCGATATTCAATAAGAGTACCTTTTTTATGTATAAATCCCTAAATTTTCAAATTCTAAAATTGAATTTAAAAAATAGAACCACACAAAAATGTTGGGGCTAAAACTACCTTGGTCCGTCTCTATTACATATGCTTTCAAACAAATCTGTCTAAAATTGTTAATATTTTTAAATCCAGCACAAAAAACAAGGCTAGAATACCAAACTTGATGTCTTTATCTCAACACGTTTCGGAAATATTAAGGAACAACCATCTTCAGGGGAGCCCCTTTAAAAGACCGTAGCACCCTTAGAGGCGTTTGTCGACCTATGTTTATATAAACTTTTCTTCCTATTTTAAGCTCTAGAAACCGCTGATAGAACGTTGCACACTTTTTTCGGGACACCCTGTATAAAGATGAAAATCGAATATTCGCGCATTTTGTACCCACGTATAAGTCTGATCGAGGAGTGTCACAAACATAGAGGGGAGAAGACGCAGCAAGCGCCATGCAAGCACAAAATGTCATTAATCGCTCGAACGATCACTATCTCTCATTTATACGGATCCCCTTTTCCTACAGACTCTTATTAAAATAATCGAATCCTCAATGCCTGGGGGGACTCCAGCCCCTCTTCCTGATGATTTGCCAAGTTCCGCCGAGCCAAAGCTTAAAACTGAACGGAAAAGTTGTTGTCGTCTGCCTTTACAAAGGAAATTCTCTTCGTGTAATTTAGAAGAAAACTGGGCTGGCTGCGCGACGTATTTGCAATACATGCTTCTTCCAATTAGCCTCTAATTAAACTTAACATCTGAGAAAAAACTTTGTTTGTTAAGTTTTATAACTGCTCCGAGCTTGTCGCTAAGCCAGTTTGTAAGCAAATTATTTTCTTGGCGTACACGAAGCTTGTCTGTAAAGAATGTTGGAGGATCTTGATCTGAAAATCTGCTCGATGATTACTGAGGCGTTTACCTCCTGAGCCAACTGGCGAGGAACAAGAACGATGCGTCCTTGTTGAGAGTGAAATACGTACTATTACGATAGAATCCTGATCTCAATAATAAAACGCTTGTAAGAACTCTGCTATTAAATACTCTGTCAACAGCTCGTGACCGCCCGATGACACCAATAGATGGACTGGATGGAAAAGGTAAGGGCGAAAACTGATAGCAACATAATATAATAACATTTTTGTATCATAAGTGAACTACACTGGTGAACAAAATTTGAATAATTTTTTGTGACATGGGCAAGACAAGGTGGTTATTATGTAAAACGTACCCAAAAACCCGGAAATAGCATTCGATTTTTTCTATCACCCCCAGGCATTTAACTTGCTGCTTATACTGGTAAAATATAAAGATATGTGCATAATAGTACTAATAAACACTCGAATAAAAATTTATCTCAGAATGTTGCTGTCGATATTTTCAGGCGATATGTTGCTCTTGAAGTAACTCTTAAAACTGTGCAGTAACTGATTTAAAAGCATTGCAATCTCGTAACTCAGTTTCATTTAGAGCACTGTCACATACATGATCCTTAACGATTTTCCGTATTTGTGGACTCCAAGTCTCGGAAGTTTGTTTTAAATGCAGAAACCCTCTTCCATTTCGATCCATAGCTTTCACAAAATTTTTCATCAGTCCTAACTTAATATGCAAAGGTGGAAGCAACACGCTTTTGAGATCAACTAGTGGTTCGTGAGCAATGTAATTGAGGCCCGGAGTTAATACCTGACGTAGTGGCCACTCCTCTGTTCATACGAGGGATACCTTTTAGGTTTTGCATATAGAAACATAGTAGGCCGCGCGAATCGAACGTCAGTACTGAATCTTAACCTCACTCTTTAGTAATTTTAAATTCAAAGTTTCACAACACTACAGTGAATTTTTAAGTGTCAACAAGTCATTAGAAAAATGGAACTTAACCGAGAACATTTTCGCGTCATAATTTATTACAACTTTCAGAGACAATTATCGCAACAAGAATGCCTTGCTGAGTTACTGTCTGTTTTCGAAAACGAAGCGCCACATCAGTCGACAATTTCCCGTTGGTATGGGGAATTCAAACGTGGACGGGTGAGTCTTAGCGACGATGCCAGGGTGGGTGCACCAAAAACAGCAGACACCCAGAAAAACGTCGATGCTGTGCGCAAACTCATCATTGAAGATAGACATGTGACATATCGCGAGGACTCCTCCTTGAAGATCTCAAAGACCTCAATTCAAAAAATTTTACATGAAGAATTAGGAGTAAGAAAATTAGTTTCTCGTTGGATACCCCACCTGTTGACTGAAGAGCAGAAAGCAGCCAGGGTTAATTGGTGTCAAAAAACGCTTAACCGTTTCAATTCCAGAAACTCAAAAAATGTGTTCAGCATTTTTAGTGGTGATGAATCGTAGATTTACAGTTATGAACCAGAAGATAAATTGGTATACCACCATTTGTTTGCCAAAAGTCAGCATCGAGCTTCGAAAAATCAACCCCGAAGGAAGAATCATCCACCACCAAGACAATGCAAGCTCGCACACAGCCCAAAATATAAGGCAGTATTTAAAGGAAGAAAAAGTGGAATTATTGGACTATCCTCCATATAGTCCCGATCCATGTACTAACGATTTCATTACTTTCCCGAAAATTAAAAACAGTCTGCGTGGTCAAAGGTTCCAGTCACCAGAAGAAGCAGTTGACGCATTCAAAAATGCCGTTTTGGATCTGCCAGCAAACGAGTGGAATCAGTTCTTCGAAAATTGGTTCGAGCGCATGCAGATGTGTATTAATCTTCGTGGAGAATACTTCGAAAAACAATAGTCATTTAAAACTACTTGCCATGTTGTTTTATTTCCATATGCAAAACATAAAAGACACACCTCGTAATGACGATCTCGCGCACGTCTGTTCCATTCACAAAGAAAACAATATTTTGTATATCCCAATTGCATTCCAAAGAGAAGACCTTTAAATCTGCACATATTTCTCATCCGTATTTATTATAACGGATATGCTCTAACAGAACTCGCATATTGTCATATGATTCCTTCATATGAACTGCGTGCGCTATAGGTACGTGGATATTTATTGCCGTTGTGTATCAATTTTGCTTTTAAACTAATCTTAGAGGAATCAATGAACAGGCGCCAATCATTTGGAAAATGTTTCTGTCCTAACGCGTCAAACAAATTGTTGACATCGGAGCAATATATCAACTCCCAGTGGGTGAGGTCTTGTTGCCGTTTTCGGTAAAAAGCAATGTTAACATTACCGTGGGGAAGATTCCATCCTTTTAATCTTGACGCTAGAAGTTCTGACTGGGATTTTGACAGATTTAGTTCTCGAATTAAGTCATTAAGTTCGCCCTGTACCATCACTTTCAGAATCGGTGGATTCGACTTTTTCATCCAAAGACCAAGATTCTGGTGGAACTGGGACAGAAAGTGCATCACTATGCTTAACAGGCCGCAAAGCTGATGGTAAATTAAAATACTTAACAGTATGTTTCGATTTTGGTCCAATACCTTTAATATTTGTGAGGCAAAAATAGGAATCAGTAGTATGATCTCTCGGTTCTCTCCAAACCATTGTCGCCTCTTAACTAACCTGTCAACAACGTTACACAAACCTTACAACATATTTGAGGGGCCCATAGTTAATCTTGGTCGCCAACTTTAATGCCAAAATAAAGACCGTATGCTTTCAACACAAGGGGAATAAAAGTACGTTTTTGGGATTTAAAAGTTAGCACACATAACATAAACTGTTCGCTCCATTCATACAATTTCTGAGTGTTGTCCATAAAGCTAGTCTCGATCACAATAAACTAAAAACAACACACAGTTTTAACAAATATTAACAGTACTCAGAGCATCTCAGTACTCTTCAACACAGAAAACGTAACTGACTCGGCAGCTATTTTTCTACTAATAAACGCAATATGCCCTCTAAACATAGAGCTCGCATATAGTAAACAGGCATAGACAGGTCTTAACATTATATATGTGTGTCATCGCATAAACGTCGAGAAATGCAACAATATGAGATGTTACGTATTGTAATTCATAAAAGCAGATGTTACCGAATATCAGTGGGTGATAGAAAAATTCTGTTTTTAGATCTGATTTAAGGGTTTCAAAATACATTGCAGCTCATTGAAAAGTAGATATCTAAATTAATTTCTGTTTTCTTTTACTATTATCTGACACATGGCAGTAATATCTGACAGATCCCTCTTTGGTTGAATATCTTCAGGTAAGATACATAAATCAATGGTTCCACTGAGCTTCTTTACCACTATCACTGCTCACTGCTGCAAGTACCTTTAACACCCGATTTCTCATTTTTTGTTTATCGTAAACCCGTAACCGTTGTTCAAGCAAAGAAAACAGGCGCGTCGGGGCGGTTAGGGTATTAAATGCGAAACTTTCAAATATGTTAAGGTGTTTTCGTATAATTTGCATTCCTGTGTTCAAGGGAAGTTTCGAACCGACAGGAAAATCTTCGAAGCATTTAAGGCGTTTGTTATTCAAAACACACTTCGGCACTAAGGAGCTTACGCAACTCTGTCGGAGCGGATTTAAGAAACTTTCAAGTGTAACTAAACGTATGGTCTAAGGAGAAAATTCAATAAGAGCGAATAGGGCAAGCTTTGTTGTCGAGTCTTAAGTTTAAATCCTCCATTATTACACATTTACTTTCCACAAACTATTCTGCTGTGTCTACGGCAGCTAAATGAAACATTCCAAGAACAATGTTTTTAAGTAGATATGAATCACGCAGTCCATGCTGTCACGTGCCAAAATCACCTAACCTTTTTTTACTATTTTGATCACTTATCAGTAATTTGAATTTCTCTTTATTGATTATAGAGTACCGATTGCTTGATGCAAACCCATTTCAATGATTTTCTTTTGGCAAATTTCATACTTAGTTGATTGTATAATTTCTCAAGTATTATATCTGTCATTCTCTGCGACTCAGTATTGTGTTAAATTTTTTTTTGGACACTAATGTTATAGTATTATTAACGATTATCTTCGAAATTTTCTTATAAAATATCGTTGGACCCTCGTAAATAGACTTGACCAGCGCGCCACCTTGTGCTTCCTACACGTACTAGCCGTATATGAATGTTTACCTTCCTATCAAGATGTTAAAATTTGCCATATCAAAATACATTCTTTACCGGCTCTTATCTGTTCTTTTTGATTTTCTATCGAACGTTCCTTCTTCAGTGCCACTTACTTAACCTTCTTTCATGGGGATGCTTACGGAGACGGTCCAGCGCCATTTTCTTTTTCTTTCTACTGTAGTTTTGGTTGTGTGAGGGCGTTTTTTCGTTAACTTCAAGATTTTGGGATGTTAACGCCCTAAACACCAGTGTATGGAGTAGTACCCCTTCATTTTGTACTTTACGTTTAGTTGTGTTGGTTAGGGTACTACCCGTCCATCTTTTAATGGGATTTTAACCGCCAGCATGGAAAGGCATTGCGGAGAACCACCATTCATAGTCGTCCAGCTTTCTTTTGTTGCTGCCTTGTAGCTGTTTCGCAGCCGATTTTGTTGGAAGCCGTGACAAAAAACCCTGATGCGAACAGGTAAAAAATATCATTTTAATTGGTAATCTTATAGATACGAATATACTGATTGTTGCTGACTGAAATTCTTAGAGTGTTTTTGATTTTGTAGGCTATTGTTTTATACCGTAAATTTTGGAAATGAGGCAAGCAGCCCCTACCTTGTGACGTTCCTTACGTCACTGCTCACTACTGACCACTGGTTTTTGACCTGAGCGCTTGTGAGCTGAGGACATCCCAGCTGCGCCAAGAGGTGTAACTGGAAGAAGATCATTCCAGATAAGACCACTATCCAGATAAGTTAGGTTTAGGCGTTAAATTATTTGTAAGGATTATATTTGTAAAGCCTTCGTACGTGTACCATGGTATACGTTTTGTAGGATTAATTATTACTGTCTAATAATTTTGAATAACATCCTTTATTTTAACTTGAGCTCCAGTGGCGGAGCATAAGTGCCACCCATGACTATCTTCGCAACACCCCTACTGATTGATATGAATTTCTCGACTACAAGTGCTGCATCTATATTGTTTTTGGATCTGAAATGCGTTAATAGTAGTTCAACATCTGATGATTTTATTCTGAGGAGGTAATATAAGGTACAGCAGCTTGCTCTTCAAATGGCGAAGTAAGACTCCTGCGCATTTGCGATCCACTAACGAATCATTAAAGAAAACCTCAGGATTTCAGATTTAATAGTTTTATAGTTTTAACAGCAAAACTACTTGCTTCAACTGAAAAGCAGTTTTTGATTATAAAGTTTGTATCTCTAAGCTTCTACAATAGCAGTAACCTACCTTTGCCAAAGTAATAACTTAGACTCAAAATAAAGACATACAGAAATCACTCCAATGAGTAATATCTGTTAGGCAGCATCTTTTTATCGGTTTTACGTCTCCTATCCCCCCTCACCTCGATGTTACTATACAAAGTAATACTCATTAAGCTATATTTCGTTTTCATTTAAATTTTCCTTTTACGCATTTAACCCTTAACTAGCATCCGACAGGTCAAAATGCCCCGAGGCATATTTATTTGTGTGCCATATCGTGCTTCATAGGAGAAGGAACTGCCTCATGCGGAGTATTCTCATGCTGTCCTGTGATAATACTAACAGTAGAGTTTGAAGTGTCGCAGTGGTTACGTTGATATTTTTTTTTTTTAACTTTGTTATTGTTTTTTTTTATTCTCTGATTTTATGTGGATAAATAGCTTGATATATAATATGTATTTTGTTTCATTTTTAAATTATGACACAAAGATGACTGTGATGCCGAGTTATTGCGTATGGATGATGACTTTTGGGGCGAACTGGAGTTCACAAATAAACCTGAAGAAGATGAACCATCAACCAGCAGCACAAATGTTGAAGATGACAGAAAAAATGCAAGTAACCTAATTTTTGACTACGAAGACGAAAGCGTTAAGGACGAAAGTGAGTCTGAGGAACACAGTGAACACGACAGCGAAATCTAAATTGAGTGGAAACCAGATTATGAACAATTTAGTCAGTCAGAGTCATCATTAGAAAGTGAATATGAAGACGAAGGCGACACAGTAAAGAAAACAAAATCGTGGTATAGAAAAGATAAAACTAAGTGGTGTCAGGTTCCCTTATCTAGGGGCAAAACGAAGAGTACCAATATTGTGAAAATACTTCCTGGTTTAAAAGGTCCGGCTCGCTAGAACCCTTACTCATCGGAGTTCTTATCTTGCAGGCTTCTTAACACACACTCCATTATTGAGAAGATTGTTGAGCATACCAATGCAAAAATTAGAGCTGTACAAGGACAGTATGCAACGTTCAAGAAGCGAAAATATATCAGATCAATATTTCGACCAGTGTTTATTCATTATCATTATATCTGCTAGGTAGTTTTAAATCGGACACGAAGATGTACTGTCTCTGTGGGCTACTGACGGGACAGGTAGAGATATATTACGTTTCACGGTGTCTCCAACCCGGTTTTCTTTCCTATTATGTTACCTAAGATTCGACGACATGGGCAGCAGGCGGGAGAGAACGAAAGTCGATAAATTGGCTGCAATTTCTGAAATTTATAATGAATTTTTTGAAAATTCAATGATGTGTTACTCGTCATCTGAATTTCTAACCATAGATGAAATGTTAGTTCCTTTTAGAGAACGCTGCGGTTTCAGGATGTACATGCCTAATAAGCCGGCGAAATACGGCATCAAAATTAAAATTTTGGCAGATTCCAAATCACATTATATGATTA